TTTTTCCTATAACATTTGGACTAGAATTTATATTTTAAGCTTTAATTTTTGCGCTTGAAGAAAAAAAAGGTGTTTCGTCTAAAAACACAGATTTTCAAATTTGGCTGACTCTATGGTGACATCAATTGACGTAAGGTATCGATGAAATTGCCACCGCGCCAAAATATGAAAAGTTCACATTATTTGTTGCCTGATTTTATTGTCCCTGAGTGTATGGGATTTATATTTTAATTGAATACATTTAGCCATGTAGTAAGTTAATATAATGGTCTTCAGTCGTCCAAAAATGAAGTTTAATTTTATTGAGAATGAATTTTGTGAAAATATAAAGCCTGGTCGTTGAGACTTTAGAGCGACAGCGCAAGTACAGCGTCGGTTTGTGGTGCAGGTAAACGTAAATTGGACGGGGGTCACCAGAACCAAGGGGGGGAAAGTAAGCGACGCCTGGGCGCGGCGGCGGCGGCGGCGTGCGGCTGGGGCCAGCCCCTGGGCTCTGCAGGCGCGCAGCCGAGCTAGCCGGGCCCGGCCGAGCCTCGTCGCAGCGGCGAGCCCCTGTCCCGGAGACACTACAAGCTGTGCAGGGGGGCCCTCGCCCGCTACCCGCGATCGCTCAACGGTTCATGGTTACGTTTACGTCCGATCCTCGCTGTGTAACGAGAGGATCCGTCTTTTTTCTATATATGTGTTTTTTTTATTTGATTTTCACGTTTTCGATTTTGTATCGCGACGATTCCGTAAAAATCTTAAAGTAGGACGTTATGAAATGTTTCGAATGTAAGTTTCCCGTTATGCTTATGTTTTCACTGTCGTATTAGCCGTATATATTTAATATATACTTTATGTTAGCGCGCGGTCGCGGTTGCCTGTTTGCGGCCGCGCGTGGGCCGCGGGCCCGCCGCCCGCGTCCTCCTCGACTGTTTTTTTACTACATGTTATTCAATATATTTTATTCCTGCGAACGCATTTTGCGATGTGATGTGTATTTTAGCAGTAATTATTATATTATAAGGAGTTTGACTGTTGTTTTTTGACATACTTACAACTTAGGATACACGAGAATGAATTAATTGAATGAATTGAACTCTAGGACTAGCAATTACGGCTAAAATAAAAACACCTCTCTGTAATCGATAACATTTCCCGACTGTGTTCCTGCTTTAGTTTTTTGCTTTATTTTTATTACATATTTCCCTTTAAAATACATTAGTGTGAGGAAAGTAGTATTGTAAAGTTCAGGATTTCTGTAATGTTTATTATTGCTGTACTAAACCTTTTTTTGTATTTCGACCACATAGCATGTCCATACTGTTAGAACTCTGACTTGTATCAATCTTGTATCAATATGTGGAATAAATTTGCAAAACTGTGTTTGCCTTATTATCAATTTGTTTTCCTTTACATTCTACCGTTTCTTGTTGGACTGCGTCGTAAGTAAATTGGTACCCGTTATTGGTCCCCCAATGGCCCGTATCGTATAGGTGGGTCCCATTATTCCCAATGGGACTTTCCACTATTTCCGTTGTGCCTTCCCACTGTTTCCATTGGAATAACGGACGTTTATTAGTCATTGTAAAGTTTTCAGTGTCCGGATGTAACTTATCTAAAAAGGAAAACTCGCAGAATTGTATATTTCACATGTAAGAACTATTTAAATTTTTAGCTGTCTAAAAGCACTACCACAAAAGTTTTTTACTTAAATATATCCGCAAAATTATACCATTCAAGTGCATTAACCCAAATGTATACGAATTCAATTAAAAAGTATATCAAATACGTGAATTTCTGAAATTCATAACCCCACTTTCATAGAGATTGACGCAATCGATAATATGTTATCGAGATGTCATTAACTGAAAAAAAGAAAGGCAAAGGCGTGACTTGCATACTGCCGAAATCATCTTCATACTTAATTTTTTTTTTATTGAATCAGAAATTTCTGGATTTAGTACTTTATATTTAATTAATATTGCATTAGTACATTATATTTTGTTTACATTAAAACGAAAATTTCTTTTAATAGCATAGTTGAGGCACCCATTTTTTATGTTAATTATTGTTGTTGATTCAGATTTCCTCAAATCATTGAAGTACGACAGAAATGGCTTATTATGCCAAAGAGAGAAGACGGGGTTTCCAAAAAGTTTTCAAAAATATGCGGCAAATAAACACTTTGAGGAAAAATGCTTTTAAATAATGCCTTTAGAGGCAAGCAAAGAGTAAAACTACGTTCTGGTTCTAAACCCACATTATTCATGCGGTATGTCTTACAATTAATTGATTTTTGTGCAGCACTACTCTCATCAACAACAAATCAGCGATTTATTGTTGTTAGAGTTCTGTTCTGTTCCGAAATATGATGCTGATTTTTTCAAATTTGGTACACATCTGCATTTGTGTGACCAAAACGGGCTACGTAAATAAATTAATTCTAAATTTTTAAGTCACTATTGGGAGAGAAAGTTCTTAAGAATATATATTTTTTGTAATTTTGAAATATAAATATTTTTAAGTTGTTTAAGAAAATAGACAAAAATTGATCATTCTACCCTTTATCTTCGAAACTACAGAGCCTAAAGTTTTGAAAAAATACAGAAATTATCTTTAAATTTCCCGCTATTGTGCGAATAAACCTATATTTGCTGTTGGAATCTATTGGAGAACATATTCTTCAACTACAATGTTAAGTTTGTACCGAAACCTCTCCGCGCGAGTTCAACTCGCACTTGGCCGGTTTTTTGGTTCTATTACTTATCTGCAAATTCACTGCTGTGATGCACTTCTATGTTATCATATCATACAATAATTATAATAGTTATATTTGTTTGTAGGTTGCGGTCGTCAGCTTGGTTCGTGGCCTCCATACTATCGCGCCGTAACTGATCATGGGTCTTATCACCATTTTGTAGAGCCATAGTGTTATCTTGGGTGAAAGTCCCCATTGTTTACCTACCATCCTATGGCACTACCAGTAGGTGATAGTAGCTTTCTTAATTTTCTATTGAATCATTAATTAACTAGTTAATTAACGTCTCGGTATTTTGCGTTAAGACATTTTGGTGAATACAACGAATGAAATGCCGGTGTAATATGTTAATCGATATTTAGGTTAAATCAGTGGATGGCGCAACACTATTTATCTTGCACACATGCACATTATACGCACACAGATGTATTTTTGTTTTGGTCTCGTCTCCAATACGTCAGGGCCAATCTATGGATATACTAAATCTATGTAGGCACCTCAAATTATCAATATTATTATAGAAACTGAACATTCCAAAAAAATTTACAAATAGATACCCGCCCGTGGACCACTTAATTGGTTTACCTGGATGGACCACGGGCAATTATTTCTTCCCGTGGTTCACCTCTTACACGTATAAAATACAAATGCACAACTTATCTTGCTGGTGGTCCACCTCAAACATTAACAGTTTGATGCTGGCCATTAAAATAAATTATATCGTTTTAAAAAATATATGCGTAACTTAGTTTGATGTACAGAAAGTAGTTTGCGTGATATTTATTATAAATATTATTATTTGGATAAATACACAAATTTTACAATACTTATAAAACTTGCATATTGTTGGTTAAACTTAGAAATTAAAAAAAAATCGACAACTAGAAATCGGTACTATCTCAATTTTGACAACTTTACGGGTTTATATTATATAGCATCTGGTTTATTAAATAAAAATACGTAATTTTTAAATATTTTTATTATACATATATGTATGTACACTACGTATTTTTATTTAATAAACCAGATCCTGTACAAATTATTTTTTCTTCATCCTGTAAAGTTGTCGAAATTGAGATAGTACCGGTTGCCAGTTCACAGACGATATAACAAAAATAAAATTGTCTCTAGCATTTTAAGATATCAACATATATCGTCGCCTTACTTTCTCAAACTTGTATCTTAAAGCATAAAGTTACTGAAATGCGAGAAATGGATTGTATACAAATGGACCTATACAAATTTTTAAGTAATGCATCCAAATTAACACCCTTGATAACAAATTTAAAATAAATGTAAAGTTTTGACATCTCCTAAATAATCACTCTTTATAAGATATGAGTTTGAGAAAGTAAGGCATCGATATATCGTATCGTATTTTAGTCCTTCGGCCAACTACTGCCAACGAATACATTAAAATTTTCAATTGATAGACAATAAAATAATCTCGCATCTTTGCAATTGAAATGTTAAAGGCACGGGTGGCCCACGGGAAGAAATAATTGCCCGTGGTCCACCCAGGTGAACCACTCAGGTAGTCCACGGGCAAGAAGTGAAGGAAACGCTAACTGGATCTATCTATTCATTAGTTTCTGAGAAATTACAATAGGATTCGTTAAGATTCTATACACCCGTCATTTTGACTCACGTTCGCAGCAATTGGCCACTGGTGTCCTACTTTTAAATATACACATATGTACATCGCTGTTGCGGATTTTCTGAAAATATTTTCTACTTTGGGTTATTTATAGGTGCTTCAACTTTGTTAGTACAGTCGTATGCAGGAGTTCTTTTCGACATTTGTCGTGGTTGCAGTGAGACAAGATTTATCAATTGGTCTACTTTCCCGATCGGTCCACTTTCCCTATCGGTCCACTTGGTTTTTCCCGATTCGTCTATTTCCTATTTTGTCCACTTTCCCATTTGGTCTACTTTCCCGTACGGTTAACTTTTACAATCGGTCCACTTTCACTATTCGTCTACTTTACCGATCGGTCCGCATGTCCAAATGGTCCACTTTCCCGATTTGTCTATTTCCCATTTCGTCTACTTTCCTGATCTGTTAACTTTCCAATCGGTCCACTTTCACTATTCGTCTACTTTCCCGATCGGTCCGCTTGTCCAAATGGTCCACTTTCCTGATTCTGATACTTTTCTGTTTGCTCTACTTTCCCGTTTATTCTACTTTTCTATTTGGTCTACTTTCCCGATCGGTACAATTGGTCCATTAAACCACTCGATATAGACAACACGGACAAAATATAGGATGGTGTGTTTAGACCGGATTAACATTTCTGTTTTCGTCTAGAATAGAGGACCGTAAATAAAAAACAGTAATACGTTAAAGTGGTGTATTTGTGTAAGATCGTGTGTGGGGCGGCGCTCGCGCACGCGCCGGCTTGTCGTCATACGGTGTCCTGCGGAGGCACAGCCAGACGCGCAGCAGCGCAGCGCGGCGGCGGGCGTGGCGGCGGCGGCGGATGCCTCCGGCCTCTGCGTCTCCGCCGCCGCCGCCACAGCACACACGCCAGTAAAGTGACTCCAGTGCACCCGGCAGCCACCCACGACCAAATCCACGTGTAGCTCGGTGCCACCACCGCCTCTCCAGAGCCTAGACATACCGCACACCTTCGCCTACTTACGATCTGGGAATATGGCCCGTTCCATGCTTATCAAGGGCCATTTTATTTGACACCTTGCGACAAGAAGGGATGGAGTTTCATTCTACGTATTTATACAAAATATAATGAAACGGTTTCTTTTTTTAATACTCCATCTCTAGTCGTCGTTGTAGTTGGCTAATCTATGGTACCAAATTGGGATTCCAATTTAAGGTCAGAGGAATACTAAAGTTCTTCCAAAAGTGGAAATACCATTCCGCCGTATCTGACAAAAGATGCTGCGACTAGGTCGCGATGAGGGCGGACTTTTACTTCATTTTAGAATAGGTAAATTGTTATAATTTTTCAATGAGAGCTTAATTTGAATGTTGAGTGTGTGCATTATTATAATTTCATTATTTCGATAACATGTTTTTACTAATGTTTAGCATAGTTCTGTAAAAAAACTCTCACAAAAAACTATAAAAGTACCCAATATATTACTTTTAAGGTTAATTTTATATGTGGTTTTTTAAAATGATATTTTTACAGCATGCAACATTTACATTTAGGTAGTTTTGAATTAATACACGTAAAGCTGACAATGAGGTGAGACATAGATGTGACAGACATAAGCACTAGATTTAGCCTTCGCTCTTTCTAATGTTACTTACACGATAATTACCTAAACATGTTTTTATCCTTGACCTTTCAAGATTATTAACGAACGAGCGGTAACAACACTGGCTTTATTTCAATATTTATTTTTTTTACTAATAAAATTAAAACAGTTTGAAAAATGTATATCGAATAGTATACGTGTTCTAATTAGTTCAGTTGATATAAAAAAAAACTGGTATATGTAAATTGCATATTGAATACAGAGGTATTTTTGTAAAATTTCGAGGTAAATAGGAATCATTGACTTACAAACTTATAGGAATAGTGTTTTCACACCATATACTAATCAGTGTATATCTCAAATGTTACTATATATTTTTTCCAAAGTGATTGCTTCTACGCTTTCGCTGTTTTTGCGGGATCAACTAAGCCATTTGAAGTAGAATAAACTCTTTAGTCCATGTTTCTAAAGTTAGCACAAAACACAATGGTAGGCAATCAATTCATTTGAACTTTTCTTTATACCTACTAAAGTTTGGAGGAAGATCCTTGGGGATCTTGATATTACGATGGATGATCTTAATTTATTTAGCAGTTGTAACAAACGGAAGAAAAAGTAAGTTGAAACATCGAGTTCTTAGGTTTTCGCAATCGTTACACATTGGAAATGAAAGCATTTTACGGATCTAAATCACGTGTAAATAAAAAAATTATTGAATATCATGATAGTAAGACATCGTGATTTTCAATAAAAACTTGAAAATTACAATGATTAAATCGACATCTCTAGTCAGCGAAAGCGGAAAACCCGGGTTTCCCCAGTTCTGATACTTACAAAGAAAACCGGGTTTGATTTTAAAAACCCGGGTATTTGGAGTATTTTACTTATTTTTTTTGTTATGTATTATGTGTAAACCACTTCGAATACAATAATAAATGTAATAAAAACACGCTTAGATAAATAATTACATGTAAAGAAGCGTAGTTGCTACGTTTCTTCCCTACCAAACCACCAAGAAAACCAGCAATGCGTAAAATGGTATGAAAGATTTCTATATGACTTTATAAAATGTCTTGTAATTAACCATGCCCTTCGAAACGTGAGCATTACTGCTTAGAAGCAAATATAGGTCAGGTGACAGTACTTTCCTGGACTAACTCCACACAAGGAGCTCTACATCAGCCCGAAATTCTGACCATTTAATGAAGTAAAGTATTTAAATAATTTTTCTATTTATAGGTAATTTAGAATAGGGTGGTTTGCATAAATATTAAACAACGGGTTAATGACTCTACCATCAAAGTCAGCTGTGACCATGCGACTAGTAAAGGGACCGACACGTTGGTTAGTTTGAAAATATACACGATTTAGATCTGAGAAAATAGTTTAATTTCCAATGGAAAGTTTCCGCCTCGGTATTTAGAACTCTAGGATGGTGCGCAATGCGCTCTTGTATTGTGTGTGGTAGGTTTAGGCGAAAGCAAGATGAAAATGAGAAGCAACGGGGTTAGGAGAGAAGAAAGTGCGTGCGGGTAGGGGGATCAGATGTGGCATGAAGCGAAGTGAAGAGACTCACGTGTGCAGCGCCCGGTCAGTGCGGGGCGGCGAGCGCTAGCGCCAGAGCGAGCGCGAGGGCGGGAGCGACGCGCGCGCACCCCCCGCGCTCCCCCGCACCGCCTGCGCACACCGCGCCGGTCAGCGCCGCCCGGGGCAACAACCCGCACCCACCCCGCCATATGGCCACCCAGTCTTTCGCCACTTCGTGACGTCATGCATCACACGTTGATTAACATTTAACGACATCAATGGTAATCCATTGCATTAAATTGTTAAACTTATTACGTTCCACGTTAACCCAATACACTCTAGTCTGATCAAAAAGTGGCGACAAGACCATGTGACTCATATGAAGCGGTACCCCGGGCCCCATAGTGCGATGACTCAATGCAAGCTTCGTCCCATTGGAATCAAAAACATGATAACACATCGCTAGCTACTACGACGATACATTCAACTACCGATGCTCAACGCAAATACAGTACTAAAGTTAAAAAAAAATGGAAATAGGAAAATCCAACTCTCCTGAGTCATCACAGTATTGAGAAAGAAGAAAAGAACAGACAAAAACTATTTAGAGTGAAGAAAAAATTATGAATGCAAGAATGGTTTTTAGAAGAGATAAGGGGCGTAGTACTCGGAATAAAAATGTCCATTATCTTGCAACATACTCAATATATTCTGCTAATTCACCAACAATGTTAATATCTTTTAAAAACTTTCTAAACGCCTATCTCCCTAATATTAAAGTTAAATACAGCATCCTCTGAGACAAAGATTGCATTGAATCATCTTAATATTGAGAAGTTTAAAAGTACAGTGACGTTTAAACATAACATTATTAATTTGTTTAAGAGTTATTGATTAACAATTCTACTGTGTTTAAGATAAACATTGTCTTACAACGATATTAGAAGATAAAGCAGGAGTAAGCAGCAATTGGGAAAACAGATTGCGAAGCTGCCTGGTTGAGAAATAACTGGGGAGGGTGGATGTAGAAAACATAGACAAATTGTTGGAGGAGTACCTGATGTTCTGTGGCTCTAATGAAGAGGGGTACAAGGCAAAAAAGCCAACTTTACAAGGAAACGCGAAAAACAATAACGCTCAGGCCACACAGAGGCCGCCGCGGAAGCGTTCCGGGCGCGGGAATTTTTATAACGTACGAGTTCATATGACCCTGCCACTTTAGAATAATAACGCATAGAATGATAATCTCATATCAAACGAACTGTCACAAGTGAGGCAAAAATCAAATTCATGTAGGCTAGTTTTAGTAGTAGGTTAATTTTCGGTTTTAGTGAATATTAATATAAAAATACAAGTTGAAACGTTAATAAGCGTTAATAAACGTAAATAAGCGTTACTTCCTTGTGGAATGTGATGTTAGTATCTATTTTATGTTTGTCTGACGTATTTTTACACTCATTTACCGCACATTTCGTCGTTTTTAGGTAAAATTCTTGATCTGTTCGCGGTGCAAGTTGACCTTGAGCACTGACGGCCCGCCCGCTCGTGTAGGCCCTTTGGGAGCGCTTCAACTTGCCTCACTTAGCGTGTGCGGGCTAGGTTTCTATGCGTTATTATTCTAAGCCTGCCACACTGAAACGTGTGGCGGCCTACATTACAAAAATTCCCGCGTCCGGAATGCTGCCACGGTCGCCTCTGTGTGGCCAGAGGATTAACGCTTAATATCATATTAAGCTTTAACTGTTTTGAGTCACCTTGAGGTAGACTTTTTTTAACTTATACCCTCTTTCACTAGAGCCGTATATGCCCAATATACGCCATCGCTATTGTAAAGAGGAAGTAACTGTGTAAACATTTCAGTACTTTAATATAGTTTTTTTTCATTATGAAATGTAGGTTGCATCGTTAAATTAAAAGGAATCGTCTTAATTTTCATGCATGTCCTCCGAAAACTTGTCGAACGTGTCCATTTCACCTTAAAATCTACCATGCTGCTTACTCCATATAAGAATTCACCAACAAGCTACAAATTTATTAATAATTATTTATAGTAATTAGTAAGTAAGTACTGTTTTCATAAAATGCGACGACAAATGCAAAGGTGTAGTATACAATTTATAATAAAGTGGAAATATGCAAAGTGCGGTGCCAATCATATATAATATACAGTGACTTTTTATAGTACGCATTAATAATTTGGAAAACATCTAAATTACACCGATGATCAGACTGTCATTAGGGTAGTTCTATTCTATGGTAGATATAAACAAATGAACGTAAATGTAAAGTCAAATAAACTATCTTGATATGCGTGTTTTAAATTTTGTTGAATACCTCCACCGAATTAGATTTATTTAACTAACATTTATATTAGTAATATAAGGATAATCTAACACCGTAAATTTTTAATATAAATCGATGTATTTATACATCGGTTTTATTTTCTTAAGATATGCAAGTATTAGTTTTTATTCCACATTAGGTCATTTCTAAAGTAGACACTGGAAAAAACAATGTTGTTTATATAAAAGCATTGATAGATATTTTTTGTACCACCAAGTACGTAAGTACGTTCAAAATTTCGGTCCAAAATATAAGAACTGACCTGATATGCCACCACTGTAAAGTTAGGTTCCATAAAAGAGAAATTGATACATACTCGTACTTAGTGCAACGTAATCAGCGCTCTTTTTTGGAAATAATTCCCACATTCTGATTTATTACAATATTTTTTTAACCAACTAAGAACTCGTGACGAAGATTACGTTTAAAGTTTTTGGTCACAAGTCATCGCGCGATTAATTACTGCAATCTGTTTTTAGAGAGATATCAATTAATTTAACAACTCTATCAAAATCAGAAAGTGGGCGTTCTCGCATTTAACGTTCAATTTAGTCGGCCGACAACGCTCGTAAATTTCGGTGTTTTGTAGAAAGGGCGACAATAAGCGTAAGCGACATTTCGAAAAACTTACGAGTCGAACATGATCGATGTAATCGAGCAGCTTTAACGTAAGCGTTTGGCGGCACGCGCCGACGACCGCCTGTTCTTTAGTGCATTTCAGTAAGTTAATAATAATTTCAATAAAGTTTATAAATTTAACCCGTAACAACAACAATCACCAGGGTGATTGAACAGAGCATGTTTTAGGTTTTAACGACTGTTTAAAAAAAATATTTAACTCCGTTCTTAAAGTCATTTTGGTTTTAACTAAGTTTAAGATTTAAAATGGAATTTAAAACAAGACGTAAACATTTTAAAACAGTCGTGAAAACCTACAAAGTTTTTCGAAATGGCACTCTCGAACTCGAACTCCTTTTACAAACAACGACGATGTAATTTAGGAAATGCGCAAACGAGCCCGGAGCCGTCCTCGTGCCGAGGTCGAAGGCCGTGAGGTGTGTGAGAATGGTGCATACTAACAGTGCGGGTACTTGGCGGGGCGGTGGTGCGCGCAGTGCGGCAGGCCGGTGCAGGCGGCGGCGGGCGGCAGGCAGGCGCCGGCGCAGTCGCCCGGCGCGCCCGCGCCCAGCGGCGGGCACGCGCCGCCCTCGGGCACCGTCACCTCCGTCCACACGGCGCGCCAGCCCGCCGCGCCCACGGACTTGTCCGCTATTATAAACCTGCGACGGCGATATTCATCGCTAAGACCGCAATTCGGAACGGTAATGCGTTCAGCGGGGAGTTCGAGGTTTGCGGCCTACGTCCGATTCGTAAAAGGGGGGCTACTCTCGAGCTCCGTCCGACACCCCTCCGAAACAATTACTGTCAAATATGTAAGCTTCATTCGCATTACGCGTCTTTTCATTTGGTCAAGTATTGTTTATTTCGCAGTAATTGTTTCGGGCGGAGATTGAGAGTAGACCCCCACCTCCGAATCCGAGAAATGACGGTCCGAATCTCTACCTAATTATTTCCATCCGTTCTACATCAACCCCTGTTGTTGTATAATTAATGAACAATTGAATTTTGCATCATCACCTTTATTACGGGTATTTTCGAGTTTCAACAATAGCAACACTGGGAGTAGCGGGGTATAATACACCAACCGTTCTGAACGAGCTCGCTCTTCGGCCGAGTGTCGAGCAGTCAACAGCCCCTGAGGAGGCCTCGTGGAGAGGCGAAACACGTGTCGGGTATATTTTAGATGATGGTTTGTGACTATAGTTGCGCTGGTGTTGTTTATTTTATTAATTTTATGTGTAGGGAGGGTGGGATAATTAACTTTACTTTACTAAAAAAAAAATTAAGATAATTCACAATAAGTAATTTAAATGTGACTTTTAATGCTTGACTCCCGAATAGAACTAAAAGGCGTAAATTGTATTCAGTTGTTCTTTTTTTGTGTTATGATATTATAATTGAACTACGTAATAAGGGCACACGTCCGTACATTACTAAGTAAAAATCCTTTGATATTAGTGTTTTTAACGCGTTGAACGTCAAATATCACTCCAAAAAGTCTGATTATTGAAATCAGTTACGCCCTTTGAGGTTGCTATATATTCAACATTTATTGAGATATATTTCCATAAAAAAAAATAGTTACATTGGTCTTTATTTCCTTGTGCGGATATGTATGTAAATTAATTTTGATAAAAATGATGATTGGGCACAATCATCATATGATGATTGGGCACAATCATCATTTTAATCAAAATTAATTTACTTTTTCGTTCCGAGGGCGGAATAACTGCGCATTTGACCTGCATTTCACCTGATGGAAAACGACGATGGAGCATGCAATAGTTATTAGCTTGTTTGGCAAAGTTTATTCAATTAGGAATTTGCCAATGGCAACATGATTAAATTCATTACTTAATCTCGTGTTTGCTGCTGCATTCATTGTACCTACTTGACAGACTCGGATGTCATTTATTTCAATCACTTTTATGCAGTGTGTCTGTTAAAAACATCGAGTATGTCACCAGAAATAGAGACGAAATGTCATTTAATATGTTTGAAGACTATTCTACCAAATCATTACTGTGACAACTGCGCTCCGATTGGTCAGCCCAAAACGGATGTCGTCAATTGTTTCACTTCAAATCTACCAGTTTAGCTTGAGCTTTGCTACAATGGACAAAAATTGCAAAATTACACATTTAATATTTAATTACCGATAAAATTTGATTCCGTTTGTTTTGTATTAGATGTTTTGCTATTTTTCCCCACACCACCGAATGGAACAGCACGCTATTGTTAGAAATACCTATTATCATTATTACAATAAATACAGAAGATTTTTTGGAATATACGGAGACGTACACACTGGTCAGTTGTTGGCGCTGTGCTATTTCAATTTTCTAATTTGTGATTTCAGCGCGAACGACAGTTGTTATTTAAAAGTGACATAAGGCCCATTTACCTGATAAGTTGCCAGGGATGGATGGCCCTTATTTCTGGTTATATACTCGATGGCTATAAATCTACAAATTTAATACCCCTGACATTTCAAATTACCTTTTATGTCATCTATTGTTTCTCTGTATCTGATGTAAACCACTTGAAGATCGAGTTATGAAGTTTGAAAGAAAGCATGAGGATATCTTTTTTATTTGTGGAAGGAAACAGAGTAAAATACTAACGAGAGCCTAATCGAGTTGGATGAGGAGAGGTACTGCCAGCGGTCGGAAGGCGCCTTCTCGCCACACAACTCGAGCGGCGGGCCGGGGCTCTCGTACCACAGCCTTAACACCGCTGCGGGACACCCACGCTCTGCGAATCATTAACCATAACCACTGCAATTGGAAATCATATAACAAACAAATAAGGTACAACAGAGAAAACTGGCAATACAAAATGAGTTTAACAAAATTTGTTATACTTACAAGGTATTTAGACTTTTTTCGATCAACCTATGTTCCGTTTAGAGCTTTAGACCTTTTAATTCAACCTATATACCCTTTAGTGCTATAGACCTATTCGATCAACCTATATACCCTTTAGAGCTTTAGACATTTTTAGATCAACCTATATTCCCTTTAGTACTTTAGACCATTTCGATCAACCTATGTTCTCTTTAGAGCTTTAGACCTTTTAATTCAACCAATATACCCTTTAGAGCTATAGACCTATTCGATCAACCTATATACCCTTTAGAGCTTTAGACCTTTTTCGATTAACTTATATACCCTACAGTTGATCGCAAGTCGTATAAAAATTTGTGGAAGTATCTTTTATGTCTCTTTTTTGTGACCATAAGTGACGGGCGAACAAGTCGTGCGCCTGATGGTCAGCGGCACGTTAGTTCATAACAGTTGTAGTGCCATTCAGAGCTTTCAATCTCAAAGAACTGAGAAGCACTGCCACTGCGCCTGTCACCCTGAAACATAAGTGGAAAAGTCCCATGTGCCTGTAATTTCGCCACCACCCTTATCCTTCAAAACCGGACCGCAGTAATGCACACATTACTGCTTGGCGGCAGAAATAGGTAAGGTGACAGTTCCCTGGACGAACTCTTCCACAACGAGATCTACTGCTACTAAAATGTAATTTCTCTACTCTAATGTAAATTAGTTGAACTCCCTTTGATGTATATAGAAATATGAATGGAAACAAGTTTGAAAAAAACTCAACAAACATCAGAAACTTATACAATCTAATTCAAATCGTACCGGTGAGGTGTCCTTCAACAGCGAAGTGTTCAAAATTGAGCAAAAGTCTCTTTCCGGGGCGCGCGGTGACGAACCAGTTGCAAACGCGGCTGGCGGCGCCGCGTGTGGGCGGCTCGTATGGAAGGGGCCAGCGTGGACTGGTTATCACGCCGTACTCCACACCCGACATGTTGCCGCCGCAGTCGCCGAAGATGGACTTCGCTGGCTATAACACAATATAGTCACCGCTATCGATTTTCGCTCTAATTTCGACTCATGTAAAATAATCTCAGTACAGAGTACAAAAAAACCGACCTCAAAAGTATGTAGAATTACGTCTATTTGCTAAGTTTTATTAAAATATCCCCTAGTTCGCCACTGTACAGGACTTGACACTGGAGATAATAAAAATCGGTTCTCTCCTCTGAATTTGAGAAATAGCAATATGAACCATTAAAATAATTGTTCCTTAAGTAAAATTTAGGCGCTATTTATAAAAATGAATCTTCATGCGTGAACCTTACCTTACCGGTGGATGATTTTCTTTAAAATGAAATGGGACCACTATGGAAGTACCCCCTTTCCAACAAAAAAAGAATCATGAAAATCGGTTCACATATACCGGAGTTTTCGCGTAATATACATACAAAAAAAAATACAGTCGAATTGAGAACCTACTCCTTTTTTGAAGTCGGTTAAAAATATTATACCTACAAAGAGTTGTAGAGAAATGGATAAGTCCTTCGCTAATGTCAATTTATTGGTACAAGAATCAGTACATAATGAAGAGCGCTGAAGGTAGTGTATATACTATTTATACTACTTTTATTGGATATAGAATTCTACAGTGTAGACGAATTTCTTTTTGAGACGTAGTAATTTTACTTTTATTTAACGTCATTCTATTTCGAAAATATTATGTGTTTATTTGTATTTTTTAGTTAAGTATATTGCTTTATTTTATATTAACTATTACGGTTTATAATTAATAACGCACACACTCAACAGAGCCTCTCACTAAGGAAACCCTGTGTCGCGGGTGCTATAGACACACAAATAGATAACCACAAATTACACCCAAGCTCACGAGAGAAACAAAATGTAGACCAATTATTACAGATTCGATTACAGATTGTTGTGATGATACCTCGAAAACGTATCGAGCCTTGAATCCCGAAGCGACGGCATCGGTGTCGGTATGTAGCGCAATAAGCAGTCCCAGAGCACCGCGTGGCGATTGCAGCGGGCCAGGCGTGGCCAGCCCGCACCAACGCCCCAGCGGCACCCGCGTGCCCTCGCGCCCCGTCCACCACGCTTCCACCCAGTCCTCGCTGCACGTCGCGCCACTGAACACACAAATCGCCACACTCATTCCGGAATAATAATAATAACGCACACACTCAATAGGGAAACCCTGTGCCACGGACATACACATAGACAACCACAAATTACACCCAAACTCATGAGATAAATATATGTAGGCCATACAAATTTTCTACCGGCCCGGGAATCGAACCTGGCATCCCTGCCTGGCAGTCATGGTAATCGTTCGGCCATGGAGGCAGGAATAATAAAACCCAAGTGATAGCTAACGAATATAGAACAAATAACTAACTGTTTTGTTTTTCTCTTCAAGTATGTGTTATATCAATGTGTAGTTACTAATTTATGTTCTATATGCTATTGTGTTATACCTTGTGAAGTGGTTGTAAATGTCTGTTTCTGCTTGTATTTGTACTGAATAAAGGTTTTATCTACATATCTCTCTATAAGTGGTATGCCTTCTTTCACAATTGTTTCGTCAAAGATCGTTTACGCAGGTACAAAATAGTTCCTCTAAAACATCATTTTGTTCTGAAAGCAATTTAGAATATACACAGAAGTGTTTAGCGAGTTTTATCAAGATTGGAAGAACTTACACAAACATTTTATTTTTATTGAATATTGATTTTATATCAACATTAACCCATTACGTCCCACTGCTGGGTACGGGTCTCCTCTCAGACGACGGTTTAGGCCATAGTCCGCCACTGGCCCAATGCGGGTTGGGAACTTCGCACGTTTTCCAAGTGTTGTTAGCCTTCTTCGACGGTACCGGTTTCATCACAATGTTTTCCTTTACCGAAAAGATCTTAATAAATTTCAAATTAAATATCGCACATATTTTCCGAAAACCTCAGAGGTGCGAGGCAGTACCAGGCTTTAACTACCACGATATATTTTTGTGAAAATACTCCATTAATTTGTTATTATTATTGACAAAAAGATCGAACAAACACAAAGACAAATTTCTTCAAAAACCATCGACTGTTGCCGCAACGTGGTTATACAAACATGTTGTACAAAACGTACTCACCCGTACAAGCCAGCAGTAGCATTCCACGAATCAGCCCTGACCTTGAAGTGGTCGAACACCACAGTGACCTGTTCGTTGGGAGTCGCGTCTAACGTGTACGTGCAGTTAGTGTGCGAGGGGTAGTTGGAAGGGTAACGAGGAGAGTTGAACTCCCCGCGCTTCTTCGACTCGCTGCGGTACGTGAAGGCACACTCGCCGCCCGGCGCCGCCGTGCCTGGCACACGGTATTCTGTCCAAGAAACATCATCATCATTGATCTTATAAGTCTATCAAAACGTCACATATTTCGTATACATATATTTATTTATTAGGCGCACCATCAATCAGTTACTACGATAATTCATGTGTTACATTTCGAAAATTAAGTCATTTCACCAGGTCTGTACACACCCTTAAACACTGTTTAAACTTGTTTTTTTATTGCAAAAGGTGCGTACAATGACAAGTAATATATACAGGTATAATAAAAACAATATTGGAATAAAAAATGTTTCAACAGTATTTGAAGGTGCGTACAGACCTGGAGTGACCTGCATGCGTGCAATTAAATACAAAAGTTAATATATGTAGCGTGCGAGCGGCGCGCATACGATACGCGAACAGATTGCACAACATAATGCACGTGTACATCGAAAACGGGCACATTTGCAAGGTCTGTACGCACTCTTAAAGAAAAAAGTAACAAAAACAATTTTATGACTAAAAAAAGAAATAACTTAGGAAAAAAATTAAGTAAAACGTACAACACGATTCAGACACTAAATAATAAACAACGCTATGTGCCCGAATTACGAAAATTAAGAATTTTGTTTTCGAAATCTAGCAGTGAGTCAGCGAAAATATCCGCATGTTTCGAGCAGTCGTTATATCGTCTAATTTATATTAGACATACGAGGTACGGGGAGTTTGATTAGAACACAGTGCTGTTCTACGACATGGCGAGTGAAAAAGTCTCGGAAGTCTGGCGGAAATCTCCTCCAAAAGAAAACTGCCGAATTTTACATATGTAAAATTGTCTGTGGACTTGAAAATGGATCAGATTTCAAAATTAGACATCAGAGCTAGTTCGAGTTGTGAAGATATTATACAAGTCTGTAGATCAGAGCAACATTGAATATATTCCATTTACTTCATCATCAACCCTAATAGCACACTTATATTTGTTATAAAAACACACATATTTAGGAAATGAAACTATTTTTCCGCATTTAAATCGCGTATATTTGTTTTTTCAAACAAACCGACGTTTCGGACCCTTTACAGGTCCCTTGGTCACGATTGACTGAGGTGGCACAGTCTTCAACCAGTTATGTCTAATATTGATGCAAACCACCCTATTTTTTCACTATAGTTACAATAGTTATTAATTAAATACCTTATTTTTAATTTTACAAAGAAAACATTCCAATTTACGCTATATTAAGTTTTACAAATTATTTTATCGAATGAATTTTTATTAAGTTCAATTTATTATTAATTATTAATAGAAATTAGAATAAACTAAAACATATTAATTAGTACTGCAGTCTTATGTCTGTTTGGGAGTTTTCATTAGAGGAAATACCTATAAATAAGCCTGTGATTTGATTACTAGACTCTACAGGAACCCGAATAGACTTGTTTTCCGAGGATTGTGAACTTTTTTCAACGTGCAAATTTCATCACGATGTTGTCCATCTCCGAAAAGCTCACGGTACATTTTAAATTAAATTTCGCACATAAATTCACAGAACTCAGAAGCACTAAGCGCTTTGTTTCCTCCTTTCTGATGCGTACGGCAAAGGAATGGAATATACTACGCGCCCAAACACACGAGGAGAAAGTTTTCGCTCGGCCGCCGCGCGGCGACCGCCCAGTTACCACGCCTTCATGTACATTAAAGGCGAATCTGAATTCTATTTACTAGGCAACAATATTTAAATTCCTCTGAATAATACAACCGCGCGGCCGCCGTGCCGTCGAAGAACGGACTCCGCTCGGTGACCGCGTAGACAAAAGACAAGCTAGTGCCTTCCAGCTCTCCCCGCGCGCTAGGTTTAGAAAATCAATATACAAAAAGACTAGGCTCCATGGCCTAAAGATCTTCTATCTAAAGACCTTTCCGCAAGGAAAGTACCTAAAATATACAATTACAACTTTTTTAATTTTAGTTGAATTTCGTATAATGGATACGGATTCCAAGACAGAATTTGAGTAACTGAATGAACCTGAAGTCGGCTAGCGGTAATGGTCTGAAGTTGATTTTTTTTTTGCTCATTCAAGCGTAAAAGCTAAATAAATAGAGCGTATTTTGCCATGACAGTTCGGTCTCTGAACACGTGCGCGCGGTCGCTGGGCGGCGGCCGCCGCAGACTCCGGTCTTCGAGCATTTTTAAGGCAAACACGCACCATCGTCGGTCACATCGTCGTTTAACATCAGGTGAGATTGTGGCCAAGCGTGTGTTTATTATTTATAAAAAAAAATTAATTAAAAAAGAGGTGCCAGCCCCGATTCGAACCCACAGCCTTTATTTGAGAGACGGCAGGTCAAACCATTAAGTTACTGATAACAAGATCGACTAAACTACGCGGGCGATGCAGCACTATTGACGACTTGAATCGATACTCAGTGTCCCATCCTATCTTTCATTTGGACAGCTAACGTTCCCGCAAAAAGATAGGAGTCTAAAGGCGCGTGTCCACCCCCGACACGACGCGCTTAACCACTATTGTATGGGCGGGGTGAGGGGTATTGTCAGTAAACGAAAGTTTATGGTTGCTTAATAGTCAACGTATACAAAAACATATTTTTTCCCACAGTCGATTGCAAAACGATAGCTACCTGGAAGACTTGTAATGCACTGATACATTTCACCCTACACACGTCTGTCCGGAAGCATTCGTATCGTGTACATACTCATCATTTTATCGTCTGCAACAGATACGACATGCTTTCGTGGCTAGATCCGACAAAGTTCTTGTCGTGTACAAGACCATTCTTATCTTTTTTGTAGCAGACACGTCGAATTTCTTATTTAACTAAATAAATCTACTTATCACTACCTACTGCTTTTTATTTGACAGGTAATAAAAATGGAGATGGAAGTGATCATACTAACCAGTCTCAAAGGTGTATTTGGCCTTGAACCCCCTACCCTGGTTTTCCCCAGAGCTAAAGACCATCACGAGCCTAGGTCCATCAGAGAGCAGTGGTGCAGGGAAGGCGGGGGGCCCTGGGGAGCCTTCGCCGCACAACTCCGCGTCATGCTTGTCGTATGAGTCTGTCGCCTCCTGCCCGCGCAGGTATACCTTCAGGTACCCGTCCGGGCAGTTACTGCTGTTTTATTGAACGAAAAAAAGATATAATATAGGAATTGTTTTAGAATGCCGAAGAAACATCTTATACATTTGTTTCAAGATTAAAGCGTGGTCTTTTTTTGTTTAGTATTGCCGTAATGTGGGTTGGAGACTTCACACATCGATACCTCCAATAATCACTACACCAACTTAATTTTGTGGTTAACTCTGTTTTTATTTTGTGTTTTTGTTCCTTTTTTCACAAAATTCGCGTAGCATAATATTAATAAATATATTTCTAACTAATTATTAATACAAAGATCGAACACTCAGAAGAAACACTCAGAAAAAATTCCTTCGATCTGGTCGGATTCGAACCAACGTCTTCTTGCATACCGTGCCAGATGCTATATCAACTAAGCCACGAAACGAACCAACGGACCTCACGAATTTTTCTATGTGCTTGCGTCGTGTCTTTGTACTTGGTCTTTCAACGACTTTTTAGTCATAGCTCCATCTATGAAAAATCTGTGACAGATTTATCACCCAGTTAGTACCTTTACAGCTACCAGTCCTGGCGAGAGATGTCGCT